CTTCTATTAATGATAGCTATACATGACTTTTTAAAAAATATTTTGAAGGCAATGCACTTCCGGTATTAGCTTATCTGATTCAAAATTGACGCTCTTATTAGTCGGACTGATGTGGTTTTCCACCAAGACGAGATAATCGACTACATTAGACACACACACACACACACACACACACACACACACACATTATAAGATATGCGATGTATAAGGTGACTATAAACTTCTATAAACTCAGTCATCAATCAATGTGACATCACTGATATCGTAAGTTCCCTTGAGTAACATTCCTTGAATATTGTTCCACAGAATTTCTGCTATTGTTATAAGTTAACAAAAAAAGAACAAACTTTGTTTTGTTTAGAAACTAAGAAGGTGGCTGATAGGCAGTCAGCATGGATTAGGGTGAGATGAAAGCACCTGTCATCAGTCAGAGAGGTTGCTTAGACAGAGATGTCCCTATCAGTGGATCTAATCTAAGACAAGAGGAAACACCTCCCTGCTGAATGTCTCCAGTTTAACAATAAAACCCTTTAACTGCTTCCAAATCCAAACATAAGGGTTAATGGGGTCTTGATGTTTTAAGAATATGTCATGTATGCAGTGCTTGATATTGCAGGATAGTGCAGCAAAACAGTTCAGTGAACTTTGAGCTAGAGGTCTTTACATGGGAAGAGGTGATGTTTTCAATCAGTTTGCACAGTGTTTGTAAAGAATTATTTCTTCAGAATTTGAATGTCAGCACATACAAATCAGCATATAGTACATTCAAAGTCGACTCTTCCAAACACTTTTTATTGTAAACTGTGTTGCACGTGTGTGTTGAGTATTTACAGTTGTGGTCATAAGTGCATACACTCATCATGGGCGTTAGTGGTAATTAGGGGCTTTGCATGATTTCTTTGACCTTACACATCAGTTTATACACACATAACTTAAAAAGAAAAAGTAATGTAATCGACACACTGAGATAAACTATATAACTGTGACAACATTATTGTTGTTGTTGTTTGTGAATTTAAATTGGAGCAGTTCCACTCAGGAGAGTTTCATCATTCATAAACTAAAATAAAGCACAAGTACTTCAAATTTGTTAAATAAACACAGTGTTTGAAAAAAGTTACTCTGTTAGACTTAAGCGCTTTATTGAAGTTTGGAGAAAGGTTAACTAGTGCTAGTGCTTTCTGATTTTACAAATAGAAAATTTGTGTTATCACAACTTTTTTTTGTTGTTTTTTTTGTTTTTGATCTTCCTCCAGGTGAGCAGCCATTAGATACTGCTTACATTACAGACTGAAGGTGAGCTATGTTCACATCAACTAACCAAACACACCAAAATCCATATTTTACGGGCAGCATTTGTATCTCAACAAGAAGAGTGAAATCATGCAAAACACAATAGCTCATATAAGCATTGCAATACATACTAATAGTGTTTTGGATATGTATTATTTTGTGCTATGCTATTGTATAGATTACAGAAATTTATCAGACACACTGTAATGCGTAATTCCGTTATTCTATTTACTGTAGTCCAGTAATAAAAACAGGTTATATATCATCATATGTGTACCATACATGCACTTGTAAGACCTCAATGTACACAGTGTACATGTAAAATGTAAATGTATAGAAACAGTCTGGTTTATTCAGTATGATCATGTTTATTCCACTTTAGTGTTTTTCATTGTTTCTATAATGTAAGGGCCACCTGCCAGAATGGACACCTGCATGATGAGCCAGTACAGCTGCCAACAGACTAACATGAAGTGCCACAAATACACAAACATATAGATGACCTCTAAATCTACATTAGACTTGAGTTGGTGGCTTTAATTCTAGTTCATATGATAACAATACCAGGTTCATGCATCTCTCACCACAACCTCGTCTGTGGCCTGACAGACTCAGGAACTTTGTTGTCACAGTGGAAAAGTAACACAATGGAAAATAAAAAGTGGGATGTGTTCACTCATTTGTATGTTTATGAAAAAAGTTTTATAATATTTAGTATAAAAATAGTTTTTTTAAAAAAAGAAAAACAACCAGCTGAAGTTGTTTTTAAGGTTGTTTTGATGCACTACTGCCATCTGTTGGTCATAGCGGTGACATACTGCAATTGGCATGTGACGATAAATTGCCTTAAATTTCAGAATAAATTAGCATCTAAAAAGATAACTTAGTGCTGAATGTATAGATAGATAGATAGATAGATAGATAGATAGATAGGTCCCTGTCAGGACGTTTTTATTTAAAAAATAATTTACATGAAATGGCAACAATTTCCTACAAATATTTCCAGATTTTTTTATTTGCCTTTGTCCTGCTGTCACCTCAGCTGTGTTCTGCACTCTATTCATATAAAATCATTTTAACTGGGACTCGTCAACGTGCAAAGGTAAGCTTTGCTTTGGCTGTCTTTATGTTGGTGATCTAGGTAAGCTTTCTGTATTGATGCTAATATTACAGCTGTAATATTATCGTTGTTTTCTTTTTACTCTGCATTTAAAAAATAATTGTTAATATGTTCAGATGTAAATGTTGTCGGTGTTAGTCTTCTTTTTTCCGCCATAGGTGCTTTTTAAAACAACATACTTTTGTGCATTGTTTGTGAAAAGTATGTTGTTAAACATTTTATTACATATACATATTATATTGTATATGTTATATTATAACATAACATGATGTTATGTTATTTTTATTGTTGTAAGTAACCACTTGTTGATTCACAACAGGCTGTATGTTCAAGTCTTTTCACTGTTACCGATAGAAATCAGTGTTAATCGGTATCCTGATTGGTATTAGGAGGTATTTCTGAGATAGAATGACAAAAAATATTTTACTCGTGGTCAAAGAAGTGTTTTTTGATTACAGGGTGGTGGTCCAGGGTTGCGTGGACTTCTTCTTGGGCCTCCCTACTTCTGCTGGGATGGACGTGCAGTTGCTGGTGGTATGTATGGCCTCAGGTTTCCAGTACTCTTGAGGGCTGCTAATGTACCTGTGGGCCAATATGCCAATATTTCTTTTTCGCTGTCAATATTATTACACAGACCCTGTGAGCGGTGACAGCAGACCATTTGTTAATTTCCATTGCTGACACTGTCCAATCAAATCTCTTAATGTAACGGGCCCTCCCATACCTTCCCAATTTGTTTGTGCACCTTGTAGAACAACGTTTAGTATTGAAGTGGTTGATACAGATGGACAAAGAAAAGCTGAAATGTTGAAAGAGAAATAGAAAAAGAAAAAAGAAATAGTCAAAGAAAAATGTGCCAAGTTAACCGACCGTGCAGTAACAGGAACGAGTAGTAACAAGCCCTGCTGACACAAGAGGGTGCTGTTTCTAGTGCTACCAAGAAGTACTCTAGGAGGGAAAGCAGCCCCAGAAACAGTGAGGCGGGGCAAGGTATAATTAATATGGACATAACTAAGAAAGGAGGGAAATAAAATTAATAGCAAGTGTGAAGTTTTTAAGTGTCACATGCTGCACTGCAGTGAAACTGAGATGTCCTAACCCAACAGGTGTACCAACATGATTAGGAAGAAATACTGTTTTAGTATCAATATACATATTATTTGTATGGATGTGATATTTTATATATATAATTTTTTTTTTTTAAATTGCACAAATAGTACAAATAGTACATACACTTAACTGGACCATATGCTGTTTTAACCAACTAAAAATGTCAGGGCCAATTTTTATTTATATATTCTTTTTGTCCAGGGGTGGGTGCAGAAGACTGTCAGGGGGGATTTGTGATAGATCGATTGCACCAAGTGAAACTGAAGGTTTACAAGAATGTAGTGTGACTAGATTTGATGTGTAGTTTGGAGGCACTAGCAAAATGACAGAAGGCAGAACTGAAGGTTGCAGAGTTGAAGCTGTTACGATTTTCATTGGGAGTGACCAGAATAGACAAGATTAAAAACAGATCTATCAGTGTGAGCTGTTTGGAGACAAAGTTAGAGAGGCAGGGCTGGGATACTTTGGCCATGTGGAGGGATAGTGGATATATTACACAAAGGATGTTGAACATGGAGCTGCTAGGGAGAGAGTAAAGAAGAAAACCTCAGGGGAGGCATGCATCATAGAGTTTAGAGTGGTCTTAAAGCCCACAGACCTTCCACAAATTTGTCTCTTAAATTAAAAGGTTTTATGTTCTATTATATCTCAATAAAACTTAAACCTCATCAGGTATCATCTACCATTTTATTTTTCGAATCATTTCTGTCCACTATACAGGATGAAGTGCTGGCTTCTCTGGTGGCTGGTGTTTTTTGTGTCACACCAACCCTCTGCATGTCCTCCCCCAAAAACAGACTGAACACAATGGAAGATCAAAGTTCAGGAGGTCGGGGTTCCTGCGAGGATCAGTGTCAGAAAGGTAGGCTGCTTTCATTTTGTCCGAAGGCTGTTGTTTCCATGCTTCAGGGTGAAATGTCTCACCTACAGATCTTTGTTCTTCTGTAACACGAGTAAATCAGAATGTACCAAAGTTTTCAGGTCAAAATGTGACAGATTCTGTAGGACTCAATTAACTTGAATTTAGTGAAAATGTGCATATATTCTATTTCTTTTATTTTACAGATGATTCCTGTTGCTGTATGAACCATGTAGACAACATTCCTAAAAAGGGAAGCCTTGATGATGCTATCAAGTAAACTCATTCGTTCCAAATCATAGCATCGGTTTTTTGATTGTTTTTATCTTTTGGAGTTTAATACTTTTGAAAACTCTTTGATCAAATATGTATGTAAGAGGGAATGACAGAGAGTTGAGATTTTAAGGTATTTAAGACAGTTTGTGGTATGAAAATAATGAAAGTATTTACAACAACCTAATATTTTCTTGTCCTTTTTCACAAGAGCAATTATGCAGCTAGAAGAGTTTCTAGAGGAAGAAGAAATAAAAGGAACTGTTTCATCAATGAGTTCTGACAATGTTGTTACCCTCGTGTATAAACCCAGTGTTTCCTTTCCACAACCTTGATGTCCAAACCATGAATGAATACCAGATGACGAAGTCTGTTCCTGACCTTCCTATACTCCACTTTGATCCCCTGAGATACACATCCAGTGATGGCTGTATCATCAGAGAACTTCTGAAGGTCACAATTAGAGGTGTTGTATCGGATGTGTAGAAGTTAAAGAGGAAGGCGCTGAGAGGGCCTCCACCTGGGACACACAGTCCTGAAGGTTAACATATTATGGGATGTTTTTGAGGTAGTCGATTACCCATGGAGTAAGGCAGGGGTGTCAAACAGTCTGAAACAGACTCCAATGTAGCCAACAGTAGGCTTTAGAAAATGTGAAGGGTAAAACGTTTTAGACTTAGCTGTGTTTTTATATCCTTTGCTCTCAATACAAACCTCCTTCCCTTCTATACTACACTCTGGAATGAATTTAGTATTATAAAAACAATTGAATGACAAAAAAACTTGTTTTTTTTTTGACTATCTAATTTCGGGGATAATAATTACAGAACAGTAATTATGTAATATCCCTCCATTCTGCTCTGACCTCTGCCATCAACAAGGCATTTTCTTCCAGAGAACTGATGCTCACTGGATACTTTTTCCACAAAGGAAACATCCCAGTAGATCAACAGTTCCTGAATTACTCGGTCACCAGTGGGTTGCTGCCATGTATTTGGCTTTTTAGACATTTGCATTAATGAGCCTTTACATTACTGCCATCTTGTGGCCACAGTTGGCTATTTTCTCTGAAAGCGTTTCATAATCTTACAAAACTGCAGCTCTCGTTTTAAGGGCATGTTCGTCTCCTTTTAGCAAAGACAGGAGCTGGTCAGGTTTGACAGGTCAAACTGTTTAAAAGCTTGATGAAACATTAACAACATAATATATAATGTATTTATATGGTAATCGGGAGATCATTTCGTGGTGTTTTATTGTTTCTTTCCCTAAAGGAATGGATTGAAAAGTTCCTCCACCACTTGCCATTTTCAGCTAACAATAGATATTTTTTTGAATATACAATAGGTATTTATTCAACAAAAGAAGTACTAATACTAATAAGTAAATAGTGGAGGAAGATGGTTTTTTTTAAATTTGTGTGTGTTTTTATTTTTTATTTGTATTTACGTCCATTCTCTTCTGCTTATTCTCATCAGGGTCACATGATAGCAGGAGGGAAGAGGGAGGGGGCTGGAGCATATCCCAGCTACCATAGAGCGAGAGGCCAGGTACACCCTGGACAGGTCACCAGCCTGACCCAGGGCTTGAAGTAACAAACACACAGTCAGTAAATGTATGGTCGGTCTATGTATCTACATCTGATTTGCGATGGTGGCTTGAATTCAAGTTTAAAAAAACAGCACCAGGTTCATATATCTCACAGATCTGTCTGTGTCCTGGCATCAAGTTCAGGCTTTTTGTTGTTATTCATAATTTACAATGCAAAAATTAAAACTAATAAACTAATAAAAATATTTTTTCTTCATAGTTATTTAAAAAGAAAATGATAAACCAATACACAGGTTGAGATACACGTTGTTTACAAGTTCTTCCAGGCTTCAATATTAACTTGATAACCTTGATAACAGGAAGAAAATCACAAAACATACAAAACTGAAAATTTCATAGTTTATGTTTAATTTGATTGTTT